GACGCCGCGCCGGCCGGCACTGCCTGCAGAGACCGTTCCGAGACTGCACCACGCGGTAGATCCGGCACCGGGCTGGGGTGGGCAGAAGGCTGGGTTTGCCTCGCATCGTCTCGGGGAGCTGTTTCTGTTCCCCCACCCCACCCCCCGGAGAAGCCGGCAGATGGGGTTTAGGTCCAGTGTCTTGGAGAACGTAGGGACCCGTTCTCTCTGCCTTTTTGGGGGTGACAGTGGAGTCACTTCCCACTGGGTTTAAACCTAGCTAGTTATGAGTGCGGGGTTGGCCAGGAGAGCGAGGCGCGGGCGAGCAGGAGGGCTGGCTGCTCCATTTGGATAAGCGGGTCTGACAGGACAAAGCTGTTTTCTCCAATGTCATCGCGGTGACAGGTTAGCATTGCAGAATTAGGAGCGCGCCAGTTTGCAGTTCCCCGGAAGCTGCCTAACGGTATGTTGCCTCGAACAGATTGAAGGCGCCCGGGAAATTCTGCAGCCTGAGGATCCGGTTCATCCAAGGTGCCATAGGACGTGCTCGTTGTGCACTGCCCCGAATTTTTCCGCTTTGGAGCTGCTTGACAGCCATTTTGCATCGCGTGCCTAGGATCCTTGCATTCTGAATTTGCTCAGGGACTGTGCTCAAAGTTGAAATTGCACAAAGCACAACTCAAGCTTGCACCAGACAGAACGTGAGCCTGGACCCCGTGCATGGCCCAGGAGGGGGAGCGGTGATGGATCCCTGACGTGGAAGAGCTGGTGTGCAGTGGCACTGCCTATGCTGCCCTGCTTCCAGCTGCTGCGCATTGGGGGCGGCAGGGGCGGCGACCTCTACACTTTCCACCCCCCAAGCGGAACTGGCTGCACCTATCGTTTGGGCCGCAGGGCCGACCTGTGTGATGTGGCCCTGCGGCCCCAACAGGAGCCCGGCTTCATCTCCGGAGTCCATGCAGAGTTGCACGCTGAGCGCCAGGGTGATGACTGGAGGGTCAGCCTGGAGGACCACAGCAGCCAAGGTGAGCAGTCAGCAGTTCGGGGATGGAATGATTAAGGGATTCCACAGGGACCCTGCCTGCCTGCCTCCCTGTCAGGTTGGATGGATGGGTGGACAAGGCAGTCCGGACCTGTCTTTCCACCAGAAGCATGCCGTGTTGACTCTTGTTGGTCTCCATTAAGCTCAAACAGGGGCTAGGAGGTGGTTCCAGAGCCTGGGACAGCATCAGGGAAATATCCATGGGGGTGTTCTGTGGCCATTGGGGGGCCTGAGCTCGGATGACTCCATTTCCGGACTTGCTGAGACACTTGTTCCTGTCTTGGGGCAGTTAGGATCTGTCTCACTGTTTTCATGATATGGGCATGTGTCTTACTCCCTGCCGTGGAGGTGGTCACAGCCAGCCTCAGGCCTCACTTCACGTCTCTGGGTCTCAGTTTTCCTCTTGGGTGAAATGGAAGGACTCCGTTTGAGGAGCGTGTGGGGGTAACTATGGTAGCACCTTCATTTAGTGCTTACTATCAAGCCAGGCACTATTTTAAATTCATGGAATGTAGGTGGGCATTAACATCCCCATTTTACAGACAAGGAAAATGAGGCACAAAGAGGTGTGCCTTGTCCAGGGTCACCGAGCTGGTAAGAGGTGGCATCAGGATTGGAACCCAGAGCCTGAGCTATGCTGAGTGGAAGCTGGATGAGGGTGAGCACGTCTGACACTGGACCTCAATAGAATGTTCCCTCCCATATTCTGTGGGAGGCAGAAGGAACACACCTGTTCCCAGCTCAGAAAGAGCTCAGGGTCTGATGCCGCCTGCCGAGGGACTTAGCATGTGAGGATTTGATGTCAGGTGTCCTCTTTCTCATGTTCCCCAGAAAGTCAGGGCCATTGTCTCCACTCCTAACTGGTCATTTGCTTTTGTCATTCCCTGTATCTGTCTGGTGCCCCACCATCAACAGGGACTTTGGTCAACAGTGTCCGACTCCCTAAGGGTCACAGGCTGGAGTTGAGCGATGGTGACCTTCTGACCTTTGGCCCTGAAAGGCCCCCAGGAACCAGCCCCTCGGAGTTCTACTTCATGTTTCAGCAAGTCCGAGTCAAACCTCAAGATTTCGCTGCCATCACCATCCCACGGTCTAGGGTAGAAGAGGGAGCCGGGGTTGGGTTCCAGCCCATGCTGCCTCCCCAGGGGGCTCCGCAGCGTCCCCTCAGCACCCTGTCCCCTGCACCAAAAGCCACACTGATCCTCAACTCCATTGGCAGCCTCAGCAAGCTCCAGCCACAGCCCCTCACCTTCTCCAGGAGGGGGGGTGGGCCACCGAGCCTACCTCCCCACACTCCCCATGGGAAAGAGGGGACCACCCCTTCTGCCCCAACCCCAAGAAATCGAAGGAAATCAGCTCACCGGGTGTTGGCAGAATTGGATGATGAGAGAGAGGCTCCTGAGAGCCCCCCAGTCCTTAGAGAGCCCAGGAAGAAACTCTGTGTAGAGAAGACTCCACTGACACCCAGTGGGTAAGTGGCTAGATCACTTGTTTCCTCCCTACCTTCGATTCTTTAGATCCTCAGGTTGGGAGGTGGCCCTCGGCTGGGGATGAGGTGGGCAGTGGGCAGACAACAGGTGGAATGGCAAGACTTGGGTTAGCTCTAGCAACCAGGTTCACCACTATTCTGGTGAGTCTATCTGGACCCACTATTTTCATCCAAGGGAAACTTCTAGGCTTCTCCTACAGGTTCTCAATGACCCAGGTTTTTGTTTTTCTTCAGAAATCGACTTGGGCATCCTCCGAAGCACCCCGTGAGCACCCCCATGACGCCTCCTGTGGTTGGGGGCGGGGAGCCCTGTGCAGCCCCTTGTTGCAGCCTGCCCCAAGAAGAAACAGTGGCCTGGGTTCAGTGTGATGGATGTGACCTCTGGTTCCACGTGGCCTGTGTTGGCTGCAGTATCCAGGCTGCCAGGGAGGCTGACTTCCGGTGCCCAGGGTGTCACATGGGCGTCCAGACCTAAGGCCCACCACCAAGGAGCCAGAGGGTAGAGCTGGCCATGGGTGGACACAGTGGGACACCAGTGGGTCCTAAGAAATCCCTCTTCTCTTGCCTCCCCAGGAGGGAATGACTACAGGGCAGAGGCCCATTGCTATGGATCCCAGGTCTGGAACAGGCCCTCTCGGCCAAGGTGACAGAAGAGATGGCTTCCTGCCAAAGATAATGCCTTCAGGAAGTTGCTAGTGAGCTGTAAATTCCGTTACAAGTCATAGATCCTTACTGTCACGGACACTAGTGTCTGATCAGAGCATCATCAACTACAGAGACCACCTGTGCCTGAAGATATAAGCCCCAGACCCAAACAAGTGAGTTCTCAACTTGGATGGCACCGCCTAAGGCATTCTGGGAAAACCTAGGGCACAGCCCCCAAACTCTAATCCTACCGCTGACTATGTTTGTAGCCTGTGGCCTGGCTTTTCAGAGGTTTGCTTCCATTTCCAAATAAAGAATGAAAATATTAATTTGCTGCTAGGTAGTTATTCCTTTGTGGGTCTGGTACACCTTGCTCTCCAATTCTTGGTAAAATGGACTTGGAAAGGTTTGGAAAACGTGAATTCTTAGGGGAAGGGGAGATGAGTGGAAAAGGTAGAAAAATACCTGCTCACTGAAAAAGTGCAAATATATGGGATGAAGTTGGAGCCTGAAAAAAGAAACCCAGGTAATGAAGGGTTCTAGTTTAAAAGAAAACATCCGCTGGCTGCCCTTACAGTTAGGTAGCTGGGGTCTGGCAGTTTCATGCAGATGGCAGAACTTGTACCAGCTTCCCCAGTGCAGGCCGACCTCAGATATTGCGGGTTCGGTTCCAGACCACCGCAACAAAGTGAGCCGTCATCTTTTACTGGTGGAGGGTCTTACCTTCGATTTGAAAAAGTACATCTGTGAAGTGCCAATGTGTGCCTACCAGGGCAGAAAACCAGCTAGAGCAGCTGCTGCCTGGGCCTGTGTCAGCTCAGCCCACGGGTGGGGCATTGCCTTATCTTGATACATGTCCACCCTCTTTCCACTCCTACCACGGCTTACCAACCTATTTTTTCCAGAGGAAAGAGTTCCAGAGCAAGGACCCCTATGTGGTAGCGGCAGAGCCAGGACTAAAGCGCGGAGGGTCTGCGGAGTCACTCACGGACAGGACAGGCAAAAGGAAGGGAAGCCTCATGGACCCTGGCACCAAGAAAGCACAAGAAGGAGTTTCTAGCTGGGGTTCTATGCAGAGGAAATAAGTCCCTAAAGACTGGATTTCTTAGCATAATGCCACCGAGGACTTCCAAAGTAGCATGGGGAAAGCAAAAAGCCAGCTCCTAGTAGGGAATGGTCTATAACAGTGATGGCGAACCTATGACACGCGTGTCAGAGGTGACACGTGAACTCATTTTTTGGGTTGATTTTTCTTTGTTAAATGGCATTTAAATATATAAAATAAATATCAAAAATATAAGTGTTTTACTATGGTTGCAAATACCAAAAAATTTCTGTATGTGACACGGCACCAGAGTTAAGTTAGGGTTTTTCAAAATGCTGACACGCCGAGCTCAAAAGGTTCGCCTTCACTGGTCTATAAGTAACCACATCTGTGGGCAGAAATAAGTTCAACTCAAATTCCCTCGAACCCTGTGTCACAAGCTCCTAAGAACTGGCTTGGCCTCTGAGGGCCTCTTCGAAAGAACGTGGGTTCCAGGCCCAGCTCCCCTGCCACTGTGACTCCTGAGTGGGTTCCGCACTTTGGCTTCAGGGTCATCGCATACCGCCCCCTCCCTTTCAGTAACTGGAAGAGGATAAACCAAAGACACAAGTATCCGCCCACTGTGTCCCGGGTTTCTTTATTAAAATCAAAGTGATAGGGGATTAAAATCAAGAGCATCACTGAACTTCACCTTCCCGCCAACCAGCTCCCCAAACTCTGCCCCCACACCGTTTGTGCTCCCAATTCTATAGTGAAAGGAACTTAATCCCAAAGCCCTGGGACAATCTCGGGTTCTTTCCCTTGCTCCCCGTCCTGGGAAGGCAGGCAGCTCAGTTTGAATGCATGGGAGAGCCCAGAGTGGTGACGGGCACAGCAGGAAAGGCCTCACCCTCAGGGAACTGGACTGTGGAGTACAGCGTAGTGAAGTGAGGGCCCGCATAGCCTGGGCCAAAGTGGGGCCCTGGGGCCACAGGAAAATATTCTGGTCCCCTGAGAAAGGAGGCCTGGGAGCCTCAATCCTCTTTTGAGAATAGTCACTGCTTGATAGTTTGCCCTTCTGGCGACGGTTGCAGAACCACACTCGGACCACCTGGGGGTGGGGGAGGGAGAGGGACTTGCTCATAAACTCCAGGTGGGTCATTTGGCCCAAACCCAACAGATCCAGAGAGGTCGAAGGGCAGGCACCAGAGCTCGGGCCAGGGGGTGGGGCCAGGGGAGGAGGGCAGGGCGCCCTGGGGATGGGCACTCACGTCCTTCGCCAGCCCGAGCTGCTGGGCGATGCGGCTGATCTGCTGCAGGGCGGGCTTCGGGCACTGCAGGAACATGTTCTCCAGGTTGCCCTTCACTCGGTTCTCGATACTCGTCCGCTTTCTCTTTCGGGCCTGCAGCAGGGTCTCTGCTTTGCATATCTAGGCAGGTGGGGAGGGGGTGACAAAGAGCTAGGAGGGCAGGCTTCAAACCCACCAGGTCTGATTCAAGAGCAAGTTGCTAAGGGGCATTGATGGAGGTGTCACCAGAGCCGGAAGGTGAGAAAGAAAGATCGTGCCAGGGCAGGCTTGGACCAGCAGCTGCACCTGGCCCAGCAGCACTGAGCAATCACCTCCCCCGATGGAGGGCTACTGCCCCAAGAAGCAGAGCTGCCAGCCAGGGTGGAAGCAGTGGACGCGGGGCACCCGCCCACCCTCACCTCCTGCAGGTTCTCGTTGTTGTCAGCTTCCTCCACCCACTTCTGCAGCAGGGGCCGCAGCTTACACATGTTCTTCAAACTGAGCTGCAGGGCCTCAAAGCGGCAGATGGTCGTTTGGCTGAACACCTTGCCTGGGGAGGTGGGTGGAAAGAGAAGCAAGGTGAGGCAACAGGCAAGGCCCTCATGACCCCAAGACCCAGGAGTCACCACCTCTTCCCACGCTCACAAGGTCCCACACCAGGATCCCACTTCCCAGACGGAGCGCAGGCCCAAATCTCTTCCTCCCTCTGCACCCTCGTCCTGGGCAAGGGCAGAGCCTGCCCCGGAGCCCGGCCCTCATTCCCTTGGTAGCAAAGGCCCAGGTTCAGGACTGCTCCTCCCAGGGGAGGTGTGGTCTCTTTGTTCTATGGGTCAGCACATGCTGAGGGGGACCCACCAAAGAGAACGCCGAGGGTAAGCCCCACATCGGCCTGGGTGTACCCCAGGGTGATCCTCTTCTGCTTCAGGAGCTTGGCGAATTGCTCGAGGTCTTTCTGCAGAGCTCTCATGTTCTGCAACAGCATTTTAAAAGGCAGAGGACGTGTAAGAACACAGGCACACCGCTGTCCGCCCCTGCCCACCCGGGCCCCAAGGACTGGTCTGTGGGAGTACCTCTGCATCCAGGCCGCCCACCCAACACCTGAAACAACCCATCTACAGCCGTCATTCACCCTGAGCAGCACACATGCTAGAAAGAGCAGGTCACGGAGCCCCTGCTGGGCAGCTCTAACGCTCAGAGGCTTTCTGCTGGAGGAACAGCCCTAGAGAAACCAAGGGCACCAGCCTCTAACTCTCATCTCAATGCCTCCTCCCAGCTTGTGGGGTCCCAGACCATGACCCGGCGCACGCGCGCACACACACACACACACACACACACACACACCACAGAAAGTTACAGGTGTGAACAAAGTGCTCTGCATATGGCTGGTGCATTTAAAAAGCTGATTATCCCCCCTTTTTAAAATTGATGTTAGAGAGTTGTGGGTGTGGGGAGAGAGAAACATGTATGGTAGCCTCCTGCAGGCTCCAGGCTCCCGACAGGAGAAAGGGAGGGGGAGAGGGAGGGGGAGGGAGTGGTGGTGGTGTTGAACCTGAAACCTGGGTGTGTGGTCATTGAACTCCCCAAAAAAGCCAATTATCCCTTGTTTTTATATCTTTTTTTGCAATATGGAAGCATCCTCAGTGATTAATTCAACAGATTTATTCTACACCTTCTCTAAGCCAGTGGCTACACAAAATAGACAAAAAGCCTTGGCCTCGTGAGTTTCCATGCTAGTGTGGAGACAGCACATACCGTGGAAAAGGTGAAACCAGGAAGAGGATCACAGAGCACAGCGGGTGGGGCATGCGGGACAATTTAAATAAGATGGAGGTGGTGCACTGAGCAAAGGGAAACAGCCAAGTGGGAATGTCCTGAGGTGGCGGGCTGGGCGGGCCGGCACAGGCCAGGCAGCAGCTGGGCGAGCTGGGTGAGTGGGCAGAGGAAAGGGAAGGGGGAGGAGCGAGGAGAGCAGAGGGGTGAGCAGGGCAGTGAGCTGAAATGATCTGACTCCCACTCTGTAAGGTGTTCAGTCCGGTTGACATGGTGACAAGAGACTAAGGAAGTGAGGGGATAACTAGGGAGGCAACTGCAGTTCTCCAGGCACAGATGGTGGGGGCGGGGACAGGGTGGTAGTAAGTATTGATTTCGGGGTGCATTTCCCACGTAAAGATAGTGGTGTTTCCAAAGGAGTGGACATAGGGAGACTGGGGGAATGAGGATGCCTGGTTTGGGCCTCGAGCGACTGGGTGAGGTGCAGCTGCTCAGAGAGCCATCCCAGCAGATGGAACACGCAGCAGTCAAGTCTACGAGGCCCTTGAGCCTTGAGGGTGGAGGGGAGCAAGGAAAGGTGGATGGAAGAGAGGTGGGTGGGCCAGGGGCCCGGGGAAGGGTCAGGCCTTTGTGGGGTCCTGGGAGCCTTGAGGAAGTATTTCAAGGGTAATCAATCACATCAACTCACACCCGCTCCCTTCCACTCCCAATCCTGCTCAGCCAAGGTTTCAACCCGTAGCTGTCCCCATCCGGGCTCTTCCAAATCCTGCTTCGGGGGGTTGGATAAGGTAAACCCAGTTCAAACCCTAGCTTATCATTTAGCAGTTTAAGACCCGTGAAATAGGCTAATAATACCTCCCCGGGAGAGTCCGTGGCAGTTAATGAGATAATGACGTAGAAATGCGAGCACACAGCCAGGCACTTAGGAAATGGACCGCAATTGGCAGCCATTATTATTCAAGGCTCAGCAGTCGCCTCCAGCCCAGAGGCAGGGCTCGGAGGCCAGCTGAAACCGCTCACACCTCCTCGAGGCCTCCGACGTGATCTCTAATTGCTTACACTGGTCCCTTCGGAGGGCTGGACCGTTCACCCCGAGGAGTCCCGGCAGGACTGAACGTGCCTTCCTTTGGGGAATGGCCTGGAGGGGCCAGTTCAAAGCTTAAGAAATTCCGCTGCACTGGGTACTTCTCGCTCTTGAGGGGGTGCGGGGGTGCCCTCTGCACCAGGTGGCTCTTGGCCCAGGCAGAAGCCATGGGGGACCAGCCCTGAACTGGACGGGAGGTGAGCCCACCGCACGCGGCCACACAGCCGAACAGGAGCGTCTACAGAAACCAGCCACACCCTCCAATCTCAGGAACAATAACCCAGGGAGAAGTGAGCACGGTTTTTACCCTCAGGCATTTGGGTAAGATAAGGGTCAAGTTTTCCAGGGAGGCTCCAGGTGGGAGCAGGGGCTCAAACCCCAAGCTGGGTCAGGCGCTGGGCTGTAGTAAGTCGAGTGACCAGACCCTGGTCAGGCCTAGGAAGTGGAAGGTACATACTTGGCAAGGCCAGGCGCGAAGCAAGGCCAGCCTGGGCCAGCTCCCGACTCCCCGAGGCCACCCACCCCTGCCTCCCTTCGGCTCCACCGGAATTCTGGCCTAGGTTCCCACCCGGTCCCTGCAGCTCCCCTCGGGTTCCAGGCCAAGAAGGCTGCAGGCCACCGCTTCCCCTCCCCTCCCTGGCCGCCCCTGCCGCCCAGCCTCCACCCAGTCCCACTGCACCTCACTCACCTCCTCCTCGGGGTTGGGCTCCAGCTTCTCCTGGTCCAGCTTCAGGGCCCCAGGCAGGGCAGCGCAGGGCTCGGGGGAGGCCCCCTCAGAGTTGCTCTCCACCCCGGCTCCTGCCTCGCCCTCGAGCTGGGGGGCCTCCAGGCCGCCTTGGGGTGCCAGCCCCACTCCAGCCTGAGGCCCACAGTAGGCCACCCCGCCGCAGAACTCATACGGCGAGGGGCACGGGGGAATCCCCCACACCTCCGCCCCGGGCGCAAGCCCCGGCCCGATGGCAGACCCGCCAGGAGGGCCCTGGAAGCCCAGCCAGGTCCGAGGGTCAACCCAGCCCGGCTCCGGCCCTCCTGGCCCATCGTCTCCACCACCTGGTGGGGGCGAAAAGGCAAAGTCGGAAGCCAGGTGTCCCGCCATGGGAAGGACGGCGCCCCAAGCCGGGGGCCTGGTGGAAGGAGGGCTCTCCGAGGCACTGCTCGCCACTCACCCCCTCCCCAACCCCACCCACTAGCCTTGACCTCTGGCCCCGCCCCCGGGGGGGAGGGGGAGGAGAGAGCCATGGAGGTGGGAGAAACTGAGGCGTAGAGTGTTTGCCTGCTGGTAGCGGTGGTGTCTGTGGGAGCGGAATGTCTGGGAGCCCCCGTTAGGCGAGTGCCCCGGCCCAGCCCCAGGGCCCTGGGCACAGTCCCCGATTAGGACGTTCTCTTCCAGCTCCCTGCCCCCCTGCCCGGCCCTCCCTCGGGCTCTGCACACCTCCAAGCCGTCTGGGACCCCTCACATCTTCTCCAGGGTCTTAGGAGCCCAGGGGCTGACCCCTCTCCAAAGACCCTGGCACCGTCTGCGCACTGGGGCCCCGCTCCTCCCACATTTACGGCGTGCGCACCAGTACTGCCGGGCTACCCCTCGGTTCCTCATCAGCACCCTGTGCCCGCCCCCACCCCCAGTCCAGAGACCCAGGCATTCATCCAGATTACTGGCCAAATTCCATTACCCCAAAGCTGCGGACGGCTGCTGCCCTCTGCCCAGCCTGCTAATTCCACAATCCACCCCATCTCCAGGGCAGACGGCCGGGCAAGGCCTCCTTTCCACACCCGGGGCTTCCACTCCACAGCCCCTGACCGGCTGGACTCAGGGACCGACCCCCACTGCCCCTTCTAGGGCCAGGCTCTGGACTGGCTGTGCCCGGGTTCCCCAACCTTTGTCCACACAGAGGGATCCGACACCCCTCACTGTGGGACCGAATATCCCAGTACCTAAATGGCCGTTTTCCCTCCCCCACCACCCAGCCCCAGCCTCTGCCCGAGGCTCTGGGTGGGGAAAGCCCAGAGGGAGGGGAAGAGAAAATATCTGACTTTGGGTTCAAAGAGGCTTGGGAGGGACTGGGGGGAGGGGGCAGGGCAATGGCCTTGGCTGGACAATCCAGGTCCCCAGAGGGGGCAGCTCTAACCCTAAACAAGTGCTCAACCCTTGAATGGGCCTGGATGGCTCCCCTGGGGACAGCTTCCTGCCTCCCCCCCACCCCCCAGCCCC